TTCAAATTAAAAGAATAGAAAACAGTCTTATAAGCAAATAAATTAAAAAGCCATAAAAATTTTGGTTTGTCTATACTTATACCTGATAATTTAGACTCCAAATTAAAAAATGTGATAAAGGACAAGGATGGTCATTTCTTAACGATCAAGGATTCAGTATATCAATAACGTATTCCTAACCATATATGTACTTATTGATGGGCCACAAGATATTTAAGACAACTGCTGATAGACCTAAAGGGAGGTATTGTTAGTAACACAATATTTCAACACTCATTGCTGGGTAGATCAACTAAGTAAGGAAACACTGGCCTTGAAGGATGAAATAGGAAAGATGGACCTACCAGACATATTTTAGGCCCTTCATTCCCAAAATGTTGAGCACTTTGTTTTTCGGATAAACTACATGCTGGAACACAAAGAGTATCATTGTAAAATTAAGTTAGATTTTTTTTTTTTATCAGGTTAGTTTTTTTTTTTTATCAACTGTTCTCTCAGGACATAATGCTTTGAAAAGGAAATCATAGGGGCCCAAGAAATCGTATAGCATGTAGGTTGTTTTCCTTGCATTTGGTTAATCTGGGTTTGGTTCCGGGCACCTCATATGGTCACGATCCCTGCGCACATAGACAGGAGTAAGCTCTGAGCAGTGCCAGGTGTAACTCTTCACCCCCAAATAGGAAATCAGAAATGGTGGGTGGTGCTGGGCAAGAAAAATTTTGAAATTAAACAACTCAGAATCTAACAACCAGTGGCTCTAAAGGAATTCTTAGAAGAAATCAGAATATTCCTGCAAACAAGAATGACACAAACTACCAGAACATATGGGACATAGCAAGTGTGTTAAGAGGGGAGTTAAAGCGATACAGGTGTTCATTAAGAAGCAAGAGAGGGTTTAAATAACTTAGTACCACTTAAGCAGCTTGAAATTGACCAACAATGGAAACCCAAAGCCTGAAAGAATAAAATAGAGCAGAAAATTGTGAAATAGAAACTGGGAACAATTCAAAATGATCAACCAAACCAACAGCTTATTTTTTGAAAAAATAAACAAGATTGATAGACCTTTAGCAGGACTCACAAAAATGAAGAGAAAACTTTAATAATAAGCAGTTAGAAATGAAAGGGAAGATACCACAGTAGATATTACAGAAATTTAAAGGATCTTCAGGAGTTACTGTGAAATTGTTTATGCCATGAAATTGGACGATTTAGAAGAAAGTGATTAAAAAAAATTTTCTTTGGGAAGGAGTGAAGGGGCTTTGCCTTAGAAGACTGAACCAAGAGGAAATAGTACCTGAGCAGACTGAATCATTATAAAGGCTGTTATGGTATCAAAGTTTCCCCCCAAACAAAAGCCCAGTCCCAGATGGATTTATGAGCAAATTCTTCCAAATCTTTTTTTAATGTAGCAGTACTGCTATTTAGCCATTGATTAAACTGGTTGAATTGGGTATGAACTCCACATTACTTTTTTTTTCAGAATGTTAATTTCATTTTATACTTTATTATTATTATTTTAATCACCATTAGATACAGTTACAAAGCTTTCCTGTTTGAGTTTCAGTCATATAATGATCGATCACCCAACCCTCTACCAGTGCACATCTTCTACCACCAAGGTCTCCAGTATTCCCCCCATTCCCCTGCCTCTATGGGGGACAATCTCACCCATATTCTCTTTTGTATTGCTTGTTATGAATAGCATAAGATGTCGCGTGGTGCTCCTGGAATTCTAAAATTTTAGATAATTGGGGTCTGGAAAAATCTCTGCAGTGAGCTGCTTGATTCCAAGATTTTTTTTTTTTTTGCTTTTTGCGTCACACTCGGCGATTCTCAGGGGTTACTCCTGGCTCTGCACTCAGGAATCACTCCTGGCGGTGGTTGGGGGCCCAAATGGGATGCTGGGAATCGAACCCAGGTCGGCTGCATGCAAGGCAGACGCCCTACCTCCTGTGCTATTGCTCCAGCCCCCGGAGATTTTTTTTTATGTGACTCTGGATCATGGCCTTTAAGGAGCTTAAATAGCAGCCGGAGACAGTTTGTGGCCATGACTTCCAGGATCCCATGGGGTTGGTTGGGGGGGGGGGGGGGAGGATGAGAAGGACAGGGCTATTCCCTATCCCTTGAAGCCTGGAGTTTTCCATCACTGAACCCATGTACTTGCATTTCTCATTGGGTTCTGGAAATTGGCGGCCTCTGGAGATTTTATGGGGCAGGTGGAGGGATGACACCTGCCCTAGTCTGAGACACCCTGTGAAGTTGGCCTGGCTTACAGTCTGGAGGCATCTCTGCAGCGAGCTGCTTGGTTCAGAGATTCTTTCGTGTGTCTCTGCATCATGTCCCTTGTTTCCATCTTCTCCAGAGAAATAAACTATTGGCATATGCAGGGTGCGCCCCTTCATCTGCAGCGCTTTGTACCACTGGCCTTAACTTCAGCTTTTGATCTCTTTCAAGGTTTATGGGTCTCTGAGATAAAGTCAATAAGTGAGCTTGTATAGCTGAGCCAGAGGTGGTTTGTGGATGTGGCTCCCACATACCTGATTTTTGGCCATTTAATTTTTTGGTAAACTTGGCCCCAAGTTGTTGGGGTCCGGCCAAAGGCACAGCGGCAGTTTGGGGCTATCTGGAAGTCTGAAGGCACCATCAGGCTGCTGATGCACTTGCACTGCAGGTTCAGGTTGACCTGCTGGTGGCACCATAACCCCTTCAAATCTTTAAAGATCTATTTCCAGTCCTTTTCATACTCTTTCAGAAAGCTAAAGAAACAGGAGTGGTGTTTTTTGTTTTTTTTTAGACTTACAAATTTTTGTGCTTGGGTTTTGATTATACAATGATCAAACACCCATCCCTCCACCAGTGCCCATTTTCCACCACCATGGATAATATCCCTCCCACCCCCATCCCCCCCCATCCCACCCTGCCTCTGTGGCAGGGCATTCCCTTTTGTTCTCTTTCTCCTTTTGGGTGTTGTGGTCTTCAGAAGAGGCATTTTGTGGCAATCATGTTCGGTCCATAGTCTACTTTCAACATGCATCTCCCATCCTGAGAGGATCCTCCAAACACCCTTTATTTATGGTGCTCCCTTCTCTATCTGAGCTCCCTTTTCCCCTAGCATGTGTGGCTGGCCTCCAAGCCATGGAGCAAAATTCCTGGTACTAATCTCGGTCATTCTTGGTTGTTAGTCTCCTATTTTGTTACTTTTTGTCTCCCAGATGAATGCAATCTTTTTTATGTCTGTCCCTCTCTTTCTGACTCATTTTCGCTTAGCATGATACTTTCCATGTAGTACCACTTGTATGTAAATTTCCTGACTTCATCTTTTCTAACAGCTACATAGTACTAACAGGAGTGTTTTGAACATTTTCTCTGAGGCAAACATTACCCTGATATCAAAGGGGACAAAGGCACCACCCCCCGAAAAAACAAAAAAAGAGTGTAGACCTGCATCCTTGATGAATTTAGATGCAAAGATCCTTAACAATGCTAGATGGCCAAATCCAACAATAAATGAAAAGGACCATAAACCTTAGCCAACTAGGATTTTTCCCGAAGATGCAAGAATGATTTAATATATGCTAGTGCAGCGTAATATATCATATCAATACAAAGAAAATTAAAATTCACATGATCATTTTAATAGATGCAGTGAAAGCATTTGAGAAGATTTAGGACTCATTTATGAGAAAAACTTAAATAGGGAGATAAAGAACTTTTTTTCAATATAGTTAAAACAATTTACCACAAACCCAGAGCTAAAATACTCAGTGGAGAAAACCTGAAAGTCTTCCATCTCAGATCAAGCACCAAAACATCATCATCATTCAATAGAGTATTTAAATTCTTGTCATGACAATTAGGAAAGAAATAGTAAAGTCAACCAAATTAGGGTTAAAAAAAAAAAGTCAAACTATCACTATTTGCAGATGACATGATGCTGTACTTAGAAAATCCCAGACTACAAAATATACTGGACAGCCATAAGAAAAGATGAAATTATGTTGTTTGCCATTATGTGACTGGAACTAGAAGCTATTTCAGTCAGTGGAGAGTGATACACACAGAATGATTTCTTATAAGAGATAGAAACAATGATGAATAAAACAAAGGTAACAGAATGTGAGAACTTTTCAACAGAACTGAACTGAACATGGGTCTTGGGTGTGAGGGAAGGGCACCAAGACAATGATGGAGAAAAGTAAACTGGTGGAGCTGTAGTGTTGGAACCTTGTACATAAGGAACTTTATCATTAATAATATTGTAAGTCTCAGTGCAATTGAGCAAAGGTACAACTCTTTGTTCTTTTAATTTTTCTTTCAAAACTTATTAATTTGTTGAATATAGGCTTACTTTCCTCGTCCCCCTTACTCCTTTTCTTAGCACATTCTCTTTAAAAAACAAAACAAAACAAAAAAACCCTCAAAACTTGTTTTGTTGGTGGGAACAAGCTATGTGTGAGACACTATCATTAAAAGTATTGTAGATTATAGTACCTTAACAAAAATGAAAAAAATTTTTGTTTTAAACATACCATTATATTTATTTATATTTATTAAATACATCAGTGATATGAATAGAAATATTTCTCATAAATATGTAAGTATATGATTAACATTCTCATGATATTTATTAAATGTTTATTAAATATATAGTTAGTGCTATCATTAAAAGTATTATAAATTATTGTACCTTAAAACTAAATATTTTTTAAAAATTCATTTAAAATATTTTTAAATACCGAGGTTGTCAAGAATATTTCTGTAGTTCAAATACTGTAATAATCTTAACTGTTAAAAGGAATAGACTTTTAAAATAATACAATACTGATAGACCATCTGTTTGTGATATTCTGCACAGATAGATTTCCAGACCGTCACAATAATTTGTAGGTTCTGTAGGGTTAGGAATATGACAGTAAGGAACTGAAATACTTAACTAGGTTTCTTTTAAAGCTGATAGTCTAAAATTAACTTTATTTTATTGTCAAATCTCTTCATAGGTAGATCATTCTAGAACGGACAGTAGTCAGACTTTTTCATCTGTATTGCCTCCATTTGTTCGTGAGCCAACAACAAAATCGGATTACCACTCTGTAGATCTCAGGATGTTGAGAATATCTTCTGATGCTGTGCCAGACACTCACCAGTATTTAGCAGGTATGTAGAAGGAGAGATGTTGAATGTTCTAATTGCTACCTCTGTAAAATTATCTTGGTGTGGGATAGAAGAGATAATACAGGAGTAATGCCCTTGTCTTGTTTGATCCCTTGCACCAGCATATGGTCTCTGGAGGACAGGTCCATGAATAGCCTCTTAGCACTACGTGAGGCAGTGCCCCCAAACCGAACCAAACTGAAAAATGTCTTGCTTTGACCGATTTAATTTTTTTTTTTTTGCTTTTTGGGTCACACCCAGCGACGCACAGAGGTCACTCCTGGTTCATGCACCCAGAAAACACTCCTGGCCGTGCTTGGGGGACCACATGGGACACTGGGAATCAAACCCGGGTTGGGCCGCGTGCAAGGCAAAAGCTCCGCCCGCTGTGCTGTCACTCCAGCCCAATCGATTTAAAATTTTTATTTATTATTTTTAGGGGGGTTGAGGCCACACATGGCAGTCTCAGGGCCTATTCTGTGCTCAGGGACCACTCCTGGCTGGGTTCTAGGACCACATGGGGTGCTGGGGATTGAACCTGGCCGGCCGCGTGGAAGACAAGTGCCCTCCCAGCATCACCCGAGCCCCAAATTTTAAAAATTTAAACTCCTGCAATAATACCAACACTATAGACTATATTTATAAATTTCCAGGTGTAGATAAACTTTGATATTTCTTTCTATAATATTTGTGACAGTATTTAGAGATGAGTTCCATAGAGAAGCTTACTGTTGGAGTTCCTCTGTATATTTCTTTTTGTGACTAAAGAGGAAGAGAAATTAGAGAAATTAAGCATAGGAGGTCAAAACTGGATGTGTATTAGTTTGCAGGAAGGAAGTTGAGGGAGCAGTTTTGAGGTAAAAAGCCAGGTTTTCTGCTGAGGAAGGTCGGGAGCAGTGGTGGTATGTTAGGAAGTTTGAGAAAAGTGGCTTGTTGAACTTTCAGATTTTATTTTGAAGAGGAAAAATAAACAGCCTGTCAAAGACAAATTTAAGGATTAGCAGGTTATTCTGAAAATTTAGTAGAAATTGAGGATGATTCTTACAATGTTGTCAAGCTGTGTAGAATCACTGGTTTTTCTTTGTAGGTTGAGAAATGTTTCGTTGGTGCTTAATGTTTGTCTGAGCACCTCCAGGAGATAATCTCTGAGTATCAAATTGGCATAATAGCCCCTGAGTACTGCTGGCACTCACTTGCACCCTCCATACACACCGTTACCCACACAGATTTAGGAATGAGGAAGGTAAATTATAGTACTAATGTTTACATCAGTGATGAAATCTGGTATTGATACAGTACTAAGGAATTTTGTTCAGTGGATCAGTGTGATAGAAGGAAAACAGTGGAACGGAATCAGTGAGAGAAAAGTTGATCATCTTTTGGTTTCAGCCTATGTAGAATAAAGAAGAAAAACTGGCCAAGTAAGTCTGAGAGAAAATAGAAGAAAGAGGCTAATATGTGATGTTATGATGAAGTGGGTGTAAGTTAGAGAGCTAGAATAATGGGTAATTTTGGTATAGGTGGGTTGTATATTTAAATGGCAATCAGTTTAATGGGTAATTTGATCCGTTATGGCCCTGTGATTCGATAGTAGAAGTTGAATGAAGATTTCCGCACTGAAGTAGGTTATATTTTAATGCTAGCTTGTTGGATTGTTAACTCTCTTTCACAATATTAGTATTAATGAAGGATTTTGGTTTTAGTCTGTGAACCAGACTTTATAGTCTTCAAAACCTGAATAGGAGGAACTAGAGAAAAGAGAAAGTTATGGAAAATGGCATAGAGACAATGTGTTGCCTGAAGCCTCAAAAAAGTGGTTTCGTTAGTACAAAATATGGAAAACAATGGTAATGAAATTGTTATGAGAAGAAGTATCAGTTTTTCAGGTTCATGGAATGGGAGAGGACTGCAAGGGCAGTAGAATCAAGGTTTTCTTTTTATTTTCTTCTAAAGGAAAATGGTAATGATTATTGTGTTAAGAATCTGAGGGAGTGTGTTTATTCCAGAGCAGAATGCTTTAAAGAATAAAAAGGGAAGATTGGGATGAGAGGAACAAGTAATGGGGAGGAAGCAAGGTAACAAACACCAGTCTGCAGCTATCAAGACTGCCTTATCCATCACCCAGATGAATGTGCCCAGTCTCATCTGGTATCAGAAGCTGAACAGGTTGGGGCTTGGTTAGTCTCTGGATGAGAGAAAATAAGAGTAGTAGAACAAATAAGACTACCAATGTTTGGCTTTTGTCTGGACTAGGGATTCCAATGATGAGTGTAGATGAAACCGCTTGTTCCAAATATCCTAATTTTGTTAAAATAATCTTCATATCTGACTACCTTTCAGTCCCAGCTCTTATTTGTTCTGGAGTCAAAGATGAGGAACACCACTAGATTTGAGAAGACATTGTAATCAACACTGAATTGATTGTAATTGTAATCAAACTGAAGTGATGCCAGTGTTTCAGTTTTTATTGAGTCACACTTTAAGTGCAGGCCAGTGCATCGGTATCAGTGTGTTTATAATGTCTTTTTGGGGATGGAGAGAGAGCTCGGTGTGCTAGAGTGCCTACTTTGCATGCAGAAAGCTTAAGCTTAATTTCTGCTACTGAATGTTTCCCCAGCACTACTGGAAGTGACTGTGGACTAATTCAGGCATAGCCCTAAAAAAAAAAAAAAAAACACCAGATGTGGCCCAAAGACAAAAAGAAAAAGTTGATTTTGGGAGTCCATGAGGTAGCTCAGTAGACTGAGCTCATGATGCTCAATCTTCAGTATAGAATAACTTGGTAAAGAATTCCCAGATTGCATTTTTACATACACACACTTTAAAGTTGTTTTGAAATTGTCCAGAGAGATAATAGAGGAGATAGTTTACTTGCTTTGCATGCAGCCAACCCTGGTTGAATCCCAAGCATAACATGTGGTCCCACTGCCAGGGCTCACTCCGGAACAGAGATCCAGTAATAACCCCTGAGCACTGCCTCTTATAGCTGCCACCCTCAATCCCCTCCCCCTCCAAAAAAAAGAAAAATTGTCAAAATGTTAATTTAAAAAAATTATTTTTCTGATTTTATTTCAGTCTGGAAACTTTTTTTTTGGGGGGGGGTCACACCCGGCATTGCTCAGGGGTTACTCCTTGGCTCTGCCCTCGGGAATTACTCCTGGCAGCTCTCGGGGGACCATATGGGATGCTGGGGATCGAACCTGGGTCCGCCGCGTGCAGGGCAAACGCCCTCCCCACTCTACTGTCTCTCCAGCCCCTCAGTCTGGAAAATTTTTATTGGCATAGTGAAAGTGAATTTTTTTGTTTGTTCGGTTTGATTTTTGTTTGGAGGCCATACCCAGCAGTGCTCAGGGCTTATATCTGGCTTACCCCCTGTACTATGTCTCTTGCCCTTGAATTGATGCTTTCCTTCAGCATGTCCTACCTACCACTATGCTCATCAAAGGCCTTTTTTCTATTATTTTTGATTTGTGTGTGTGTTTTTTTTTAGTTCTTTGCTAAACTTACTCTTCTGTTCTTGCCTATTTTTCCATTGGAGCTCTAAATATTATTCATAGTTGCTTGAATTTCTGGGCCTGATTGCTCTAAAAGCCTGATAGCTTCTAGGTTCTAAGAAAAATTTGAAAAATCTTGAAATCTGGTGCTTGCATTTTCTCTTTAAACTGTTGATTTTTCCTTTTTAACGTTTTGTAATTTCAAAATGGAGATTTAACATTTTGTTTATTCATTTATTTCAATGATTTTATTGAGGTACTGGGGTTTATAATAATGTTATACTTCTCATGCATATATCATTGCAGCACTACACCTGCTTCCCACAATCAAAAGTCCACGGGGGAGTTTTTAAGGACTCCTCAGAACTCTCCTTCCATTTAGACAAATGCTTCATTTCCAATCACTTTGACCATTTGTTCTTCCCTTACTGTTTTATCTTTTTTTATGCAACATATGGGGAAAGAAATTTTTTTTTGATTGTGTACATGGTGACGGGTAGGGCGTTCGCCTTACAAGCGGCCAACATGGCCGACCCGAGTTCGATTCCTCCGCCCCTCTCGGAGAGCCCGGCAAGCTACCGAGAGTATTCGATATGCCAGACACAGTAACAACAAAGTCTCCAATGGAGACGTTACTGGGCCCGCTCGAGCAAATCGACGATCAACGGGAGGGCCTTTACCTTTACAAGCTTACATGGTGACACCTGTCCACAGAATAGAACCAACCTGAAATTTCATGACATTTTAAATCAATGATAATTTCTAAAGTAATTTTTTTCTCAAAAACAGTACATCTTTCTTTTATTTTTACAGGTTAGAAATGTGTTTCAAATGAATATGTATAGGGGCCAGAGAGATAGTATAGTGGGTAATTAATCTATAATTCTGTGCTAATACATTTTAAAATTTACATGAAATATAGACATTCTACAAGTGTAAAATTTAGTAAGAGTGAAGAAAAATAAGAAAATCTTAAGGGGGAAATCTGAAGACCTGTACAAGTATAAAAATGTGTTTTATCTAAACAAAGGGAACATTGGCTGTGTGCTTTCTTTGCTGCCAATTTCCTGTTTCCCTACCACCATCCCCCAACACCTCAACCCCCCACCCCAGCCTCCCTCTGTGAAGACACTTAAGCCCAGTTTTAGCTTTAATGCCATGAATTTCGATCTGTTGTGTTTCAATTCATGTAAAATATTTTCTAATTTTCATTGTATTTCTTAACTGACCATTGGTTATTTGGAGTGTGTTGTTTAATTTCTGTATATTTGTGAATTGCCTATTGTTTCTGAAATCATTTTCTTTTCATTAGAGAATATTTGCTTTGTATGGCTTTTGGTATGTTTTAAGGAGACTTGTTTTTTCTCCTAGTATATAGTTTAACTGGTACCGTGGAATGTATAGTTTGTGCTTAAGAAGAATGTGCATTCTACTGTTGTTAAGTTTTGTGTTCTATAGATGTCCCTTAGTTCTTCTAGTGAGCTTAAAAGTCTGTTCCTGTATCCTTGC